CCCAGTGTTTAAGATTGCAGTAACTGGCTTCTAATGGCTATACTCTGTTCTCCAGAAGATCTTGTCTTCTGTTTCATTATCTTAGAAGGATGCCAATGACCAGCAAACACTCCCCTAATGTCAGCACTTACTCTTAAAATATGAAGGGCACATGGGAAGACATAGTCACTGTGGCATGCCTGCTCCCAACACTGGGAAGTTTCCCATGTCACCCACCAACATAATGACAGCTGCTTGAATTGGAGGTGAGCAGAACTCTAGTGGGGTGGAGTTCTTCCTGCTGTCTTGGAATGGCCCATTTTCAATCACACAAAATACCGTGGGAGCAAAATGTCCTAAAAATGAGCTGTGAGGAGAAACTGAAGCAGAGTGGGAGACTGTGGTGAAGTGGGAGGAGAGCTCAAAAGCATTCCGAGATCTGAGTGTCCGCTTGGCACTCCAACAACACTCAGCATTTGTTTCTCCTCGGCTTTGTGTTCAGTGGCAGTGTGTTGATAGCTTGATATTGACCACTGTGAGAACTTTTATGCAACAGAAAAGGGTAGCCTTTGACTGAGGTAGGAATCCATGCCATGGAACTAGGCAAAGCTTCAAATTAGCCTCATCCCTTTGAACCCTTTATTGAAAGCCCACAGCACATTGCTGTGTGGAGCACTGAGCAGCCAGTGACATATGTCCCTTAGAGGGATGCCATTGGTGCTCTGGCTGGGTGCCTCCACAGAGGGATCTAAGTCTCTGTGAGGTGTGTGTGGAACAAATGGCAGGTTCTATATGGATATCGTCTTCCTTATTCCAAATCCTGCACTCAAGGCACCCAAGGAACTTTGTTTGCTTCATGATGCCATGTTTGCTTCAGTTGACATCACTGAGTGGCATCATTTTACATGGAAGCCCTGTCCTTCAGTAAACTCAGTGTGGACATATTTATATCTCAGTCCAGTCTGGAAACTCACAGTATTTCCCTTGTCAAGTGTGCGAAACAGCAGAGCTTTGTTGTGAATGAGCCCTGTTAGTGAGGTTATTGTTGTTTTTACTTGAAACCTGCAAAACAGCCTTCAGGAAGGCAATGTGTCTTTTGGATTTGTTCTGACTACTGTTACAATAGCAAAAAATGACAGAAGCTGTGTTGGTGGTGTTGAGTACTGCATTTTTATATATAAAAAAGCCATGCTTATCATTTGTAAGCTGGTGTGAAGGTCCAGGCCTTCTGGTAGGGAGGGCTCCTTCCTTCTCTGTCACTCACCTTCCATTCTTTAGTGAGTCAAGTCTGGCTCAAAAATCCTTCTGCTCTTGGAAATCTTCCCAGTGTTGTTTAAAGCCAGCAGTCTTTAAGTATCCTCTCCCGGCCTCCTTAAAGCATTTCCAGTCCCAGTCTCACTCAGTAGCCCTCATGTGTTATTCATAGCTATAGTTTTTCCCAGTTGCATGAAAAATACTTTATTAAAAGAGAAACTGCTGTTCCTTTCTTTTTCATGATTTCTATACTTCATGCTTAATGTACAGTTATTAAGTAATTAGAGAAAAAATATTTCTAACACCTTTTAGCATTTTCATTGCCTCCTTATCTTTACAGCATTTCTTGGAGGCATATATTATTATCTCCCTTTGCACATGAGAATGTTGAAATTCATGGTAACTGAATACCTGCTTAAGGTCATATAGCAATGCCCCAGGAAAATGTGTCACCATGGAGAAAGATCAGCTTTCTTCAGCTTCTCCAGCTACACACTTCCTCTCCACACACCATCCGATGTGAGCAAGGAGTAGAAGTGATGTCTGCATAGTAGGATGACAAGGGTCTTTATCATACCTCTTCTTTCAGACTGGACAATACCTTGCCAGCTCTTACATGAGACAAGTAGGATTCTGCTCACAGCCCATTTCAGTTGGCCTGCCATGCTTTGGCTGACTTCCATGGAAGTCCAAGTCTGGTTCTATAGAATCCCGGCCCAGTCAGGGTTGTCAGTGACATTTGAGTGGAGGCGCCCTAGGGGTGGACTGGACCAAGGGTCCCTGTTCCTGTGTCCCTTTGCAGGTATTCCTTTGCTTTTTCAGCTGCATGTGGGTTCATGGCAGCTCTGGATGTTTGCCTGTGAAGTTGTGCAAGTCTTCAATGATAAATCATTGTGCTTCATATGGATCTAGGAATTGTCTATTATCTTTTAAAGTTGGAACTTGATATTATCAGAGCAAGTAAAAAGCATTTTACCATGGCTCTGTCCACTCCAAGCACAGACAGGATCTTCAGGAAAGAGTAACCTTGTTCTCCTTTTATTTTCAATGAAAGCTAGGCTTCCATATGTTTACTGTGCTTCTTTCTGGCCTACAGTTTTTGAATTCCAAATTATTTGGCTTTTGAAAACTTAAAATTTTGACTTTAAAGAGCACAGTTTCTGGAGTGAAGAGCATAGTGTTAGAGAAAGGAAAGCAGGGCCTCAAAAGCTGCTTAGTGACATACCCCATGTTGCAGTCCACGAGGTCACACTGCAGCATTACAGTGATACACTGCCTCACTCACATAGCACAACTCATTGTGCTGTTCAGGACTCACAGGGGCCTCGTGTGATTCTGAAGCTTGTGTTCCATGCTGGCCTTGGCTGCTTACATATGTAATTCTTGTACTTGGGAGCTGAGGCAGGAGGATTGTGGATTCAGTGTCATCCTGGGTTACATAGAGAGATTTTGTCTTACTCCACTCTTCTTCTCCCCAGGGGGCTTTGCTTATTATGCCTCATGACATGGAAGAACATTTTACTCTAGATCTCTGCAAAAACACATTGCTGGTCACCACCCAATATATTAAAATTGTTGAAAAAGTTGGAAGAGTAGGAATAGACTATGTGAAGGCTCACACAAGTGAGCCAAAAAGTGCTCAGTGTTTCTGACATTGGGTCTGAGGCAGATAATGATCAAGAGTAAGGTAGGGTAAGATCAGGACATGGCAGGGCAGAGCTGGGAGGGGAGTGAAGAGCAACTCTCCCTAGTAGTCAGGGTTATGTGCACAGAAGAATCCAGGTTCAAATTCCTGTACCAACATTGTCTTGTGATATAAAATTGAGCAAATGGGAAAACCTCTCTAAACCCATATCTTCTCCCATGGAATACTATAGGGAGAAATCCTGATTAGAGGTTTTCTTGGGCCTGGTCACAGGAACCGCTCACCACACCCAAAGGTAACAAGGGTTTAAGAAGGAGGGACGTGTGCATGCAACTCTCTTTCGTCTGGCTGAGCTGACTAGGAAGCATTCCAGGGTCTGTCTGGCTCTGGTGTAAACCTGGTCACTGGCTCCCTTGAGTGAGTACTTTTCCCCAATAAACTACTGTTTATCAACCTATCTCTGACTCCACTTTGTAAACATCAATAGAATACAGCTTACAACAAAGTCATGTGTCCCTCATAGGGAATGTAAAGATTTATTAAGACAAAACCATTCAGCCATGACTAGACACTTAATTTTCTCACTTTGCATTTATGAAAGCAAGTTTTGATCAACATTCTACAAGCACTGGTCAATAGTGTATGGTTGTCTTTGCCTCTGGCACTGGGTGCATACAGCAAGTCGTGAAGATCTCACTGTGAAAAACTCTTTGTTTAACAAGTGCATTTCAAAAAGCAAAAAATAGAGTAGAAATCTGAATTAAAGAGATATAAGAGAGTTAACAACTAGCCACAATGTGTAGAATCTACTGGAATCTTATTTTTTGTCTTTATTTTATTTACTTGAAAATTTATATTTAATTTTAATAGGCAAATACATAAATATATTTACCACATACTACATTTTGAAATGTGTACATTGTGTAATGGTGGAACCAAACTAACTAACTCATATCTTATGTTTAAGCAAATTATTTGTGGACATTAAGTGATTACTGTGAAGTTTTAATATAATACTGGCTAGTACTGAGCAAATATTTTTGGAAGCTTTGAACAAACTTGTAAAGCCTGGTATTTGGGATATTTGAATAGGTTATGGGAAAACATGATTGAGGGAGATTATTATATGAGGATGGGCCTTTGCAGTGGTTTATTATGCTCATTTTTCATCTTTAATGTGTGTTTAGAAATCTCCATAATAAAAAAAAAACATTTTAAGAAAAAGAAAAGGAGAAAACAATTAAATGTTCTTTTCACTTACAAATCCCCAACTTTCAGAAAGATACTATTTTAAGGCATCTTACCATTCCACGTGGAACAACTATCTGCGGCCATTCTTGGATTTACTTCTCTTCAGACATATTTGCCAATGAATTCTATACTTCTCACATTGGTACCTTAAAACGCCTCAAAAAATGATTGGAACACTTCACGTTCATACCTTTACACATGTCTGGCTTTCATGTGAGCAAACTTTCATGTGATCCAAACTCAAGTGCTTGTGTTTGTACAACAAGCACGTTATCACTGAGCCATCGGCTTGTTCCTTATAAAGATACATAGTAAGTAAAGGAGACAGCACGAGCTACTGGTCTTCACAGAAGCAGAAGAAAACTGTATAAACGAGGGGGCTTTGAGATTTGAGATTTCAAAAGCCCGATCCAGGCCCAGTGTGGTGTTTTCTTCCTTCTGCTTGTGGATTTGGATGCAGAACTCTGTTACTTTTCCAGCACCACACCTGCCTGAAACCATGCTCTCTGCCATGATAATAAGGCCCTGAAACTGTAATCAAAGACCACAATTAAATGATTGCTTTTCTCAGACGTAATTTGGGCATGGTGTCTCTTCAAAGCAATAGAATTGTGTCTAAAGCAGATCCCCTCCTTCACTGTGGCCCTTTATTTCCAAATCACTCTGGGTATTCCCGACAAAAGTCTAAAGTCTTCAAGCTAACAGCTACACATGAGAAAAAGTATTTGTCTTTCTGTTCTGGCTTGCCTCATTCAGAATAATTCTTTCCTGTTCCATCCATTTTCCTCAAATTTTCATTTCTATTCACAACTGAAAAATACTGCATGGTGTAAATATATCACATTTTCATTATCCATTCTTCCATTGACAGACATACATCTAGGTTGTTGCCATTTACTGAATGTTGTGAACAGAGGAACAATAACACTGAAGAGCAAGTATCTCTGGTAAGATACAGGTCCTTTGTGAATGCATGCATGTGGAAGCTGAAGCCAGACAAAAATCTCAGTGTGGGCTGAAGATGGACACACAGTCCCACCCTTAGCTGGGATTCATTTGATAGTTTTGGAATTTTCAGATTAAGTTTTCTTTAATGTGGCCTCAACCATGTTCTAGGGCAAACTAGATCCTGTACCCAAGAGTAGTTGGTCAAGTCAAACTGTGGAGAGAGGTGGGGGGTGGGGTGGGGCTAAAGATGTGTTAGAAAGGAGTAGGGGTGGATCTAGGAGGAGTTAGGGGATGAGGTAATATGAAAAATACATTACATTTACAAAGAAATAAATAACATTTAAATTAAGTTTCAAAAGAAGATATGTAAATATTTTCTACACTTCTGAAGAAAACAAGGGCAACTTTCTATCATGTCTCCCTGAGATTCATTACAGATCTCCAAGAATAAAAGAATTACTGATACTTTCTCAAAAAGATAAACTGTGCTCTTAGTGTTTGAGTCACAATTAAATTGAATTTACTTGAGGACTCTGGTAGAATGTTAATCTGTTAGAAATAAATTTCTTCCTAAAAATCTTAAAAGTAGCAAATATAGATAGGGATAAGAAATTGTAAATAGTTAATTGAAACATTTGCAGTCTTATATATTTCAAGAAAGTGACTATTTTGGTTGCATTTAGTTTTTCACAGTAATAGCAAAACTGTATTATATTACTGACAGATTTTGACTACCCAATCATCTTTTAAAATAATATGTTCTGTATTTCTTATTTTACTGGAGAAAGTCCAGAACTGTGTTAATCTTAAATAGAGATTTGAAAATGGAAAAAAAAAATCCTTTCCACACAATGATCCTAAGCTCTGTAGATCTTAAACTGACACTTACAGATGTAATTATAGTATAAATATTCTTTAAATAGTTTTCCACTGAAATACTGCATCCCAAGAAACAGATGAAATGCACAGAGGACATCCTTCTGTCAAGTTTCCTTTGATATGGGTATTCTGTTATATGAAATGTTTCCCCCAAAACTCATGCGTTGAAGGCTTGGTTGCCAGTTTGTGAGGATGTTGAGGTGACCAAATTGTAAAAGCTCTTATTACATTCATAGAATAATCTATTGCTGACTTCGTGTCTGAATAGGCTATTAGTAGTTGGAGGATAATTCACAGGGTTAAGTCTTTGAAGGGTGTATGCTGTCTCTGGTTCCTTCTCCACCCCCTTGGTTTCCTGGCCACCATGAACTGATAAGCTCTGCCTCCCAATGCCCTTTTCAGTGTGATGCTCTATCTTGCAATAAGCCTATTAGCCATGGAGCCAAATGACAAGGGATTGAAACTTCTACAATGTGAGCCAGATCTATTTTTCTTTAAGTTTTTCCTCAGGTATTTTTGCCACAGTGCTGAAATCTGATGATCACACCTGCCATTTTCTCTAGGGTTCATTCCAAGAGCCCCAGTGGCTACCTGAAAAAGCAGATGGTCCTAGCACTTACACATGCTATGGCTTTCCTATAATACATATGCTTGATAAAGTTTAGTTTATAAATTAATTGTAAAAGACAGTGACCTGTAATAAAACCAAGAAATTATAAAAGTTTTAATGTGGCATTAACAAAATCTCTTACTACACTGTAGATCTTATAAAATTAGTATATAACTTTCTTTTTATTGAATTTTTTATTTGAATTAGAAACAAGATTATTTTACATGTCAACTCCAGTTCCTTCTCCCTCCCCTCCCCCCTGCTCCTCCCAACTAACACCCTAGCTATCCCATACCCTTTCTGCTCCCCAGGGAGGGTAAGGCCTTCCATAGGGAGTCTTCTGAGTCTGTCATATCCTTTGGGATAGGGCCTAATCCCACCCCCGTGTGTCTAGGCTCAGGGAGTATCCCTCCATGTGGAATGGGCTCCCAAAGTCCATATCTATGCTAGGGACCCCATAGATTTCTGAAGTCTCCTCACTGACACCCATGTTCATGGGGTCTGGATCAGTCGCATGCTGGTTTCCCAGCTCTCAGTCTCTCTTCCTTGTTCGGGTCAGCTGTTTTTGTGGGTTCCACCAGCCTGGTCTGGACACCTTTGCTCATCACTCCTCCTTCTCTGCAACTGGATTCCAGTTCAGTTCAGTGATTAGTTGTGAGTGTCTGCTTCTACTTCCATCAGCTGCTGGATGAAGGCTATAGGATGGCATATAAGTTAGTCATCAATCTCATTATCAGAGGAGTGCATTAAAAGTAGCCTCTCCTCCGTTCCTTAGATAGTTAGTTGGTGTCATCTTTGTAGATCCCCAGACATTTCCCTAGTGCCCGAATTCTCTTTAAACCTATAATGTCTCCCTTTATTATGGTATCTCTTATCTTGCTCTCTTCTATTCTTCCCCCGACTCAACCTTCCTGCTCCCTCATGTCCTCCTCACCCCTTCTCTTCTCCTCTTCTCATTCTCCTAGCTCCCTCTCCCCTCCCCCATACTCCCAATTTGCTCAGGAGATCTTGTCCCTTTCCCCTTCTCTGGGGGACCATGTATATCTCCTTAGACTCCTCTTAGCTTCTCTGGTGGTGTGTAGGGTGGTAATCCTTTGCTCTATGTCTAAAATTCATATGAGTGAGTACATACCATGTTTGTCTTTTTGTGACTGGGTTCCCTTGAGTATATAGCTTTCTTATAAGTTGATAATTTTCAGTTTTTCACTTAGAGAAGCACTTTATAGCTATTCTTGGGGATACCTGAACTTCCAACATCACTACTCTTGCACTTAATAAGTGCAAGAGTATAAGAATAAATATGAATACATATGAGTATAAGAGTATAAGAATAAATATGAATTACAAGGCTTGCATTAAAATAACCTTACTTTATTTAATTTATTCTTATTAAATAAAGTAAGGTTATTTTAATGCAAGCCTTGTAATATGCAACAATCTGATTACACAGATGACTCCTAAGTGGCTGACAGGCAGTTGTATCTACACATGGATGTGGTGGAAAGGGATGGGTCATATTCTGTGGGATAGAGCAGGATACACAGGGTTTAAGCATGCTTCTCAGAAGGACACACTCCTAAACTTTTGATATTTTTCACATTTTCCATTTGATGTTTTTGGATACAGGCTGACCTTAGGTAATTCAACCTATAGAAGCTGAAACCACCGATAATGGGAAAGCACCACAATGTTAGAAGTTCTCACGTCTACGGCTGACACACTCTCACACTCCCATCTCTGACTGCCTCTGAGGCTACACTAGCCTCCGTTGTCAGTCAAGGCCAGGGAGAGTGAATGAGGCTTTACTGTAAATTTTAGCTTTCAGCAAGGGAGAAATCAGATCTCAGGTTGAGACTCGAATACAAGAAGGGGAGCGTCGTCAGGTGGCAATGAAATAACATCATACTGCCCACTGACTGTGTGCTGTGACTAAATAGGATGTAGCTGGCTAAGGGGTTCTGTAGGGGAAGCTGTAGCCACGCCTACTTAGGGGCTGGCTACAGGTGTGCCTGACCACGACCTCACAAGCTTTCGAGGGCGTGGTCAGGGGACGTAGGGTGACTGCGTTTGCTCTTTAGCTTTCACTTTGGTACTTGCTGTACAGACTGCTGCCACACCGGCTGGCTAGGTTGCTCTGTAAGTAAGGCTTTTCCCTATTAAATACCCTTATATTTCTACCTGACTCTGTATTGGTAATTTCCCACTATAGGGTTCTGTGAAAGAAAGAGTGGTCTGTGAGGCAATAACAGGTCTATAATAGACATTCAGGGCATTTCCCTTTCACAGAAAATTTCATTAAGGAAGTGGTGATGGCCAAAATCGTGTGAATATGTCATGGGCAGACATAATGCCACCACTACTGAAAACCAGCTTTTTTGTTTTGCTCTTGCTGGTGTCGTTGCTTATATGTTTATTTTCTTATTTTCTCTAGAATGCAAATTCTAAGATAGCAGTAACCTTGATGCCTAAAAATCGGACCCGTCTCAATAAATATATGTTGACTTATATGGGTGATGCCATGCTTCAATCAAAAGCTTGGTCAGGAATGAGAGACAAGCACAAGGTTAACTCAAGAACTATCCTCTCATGCTTTCTAGCAAATTAAAAAACTCCTGGTGACCATAAAAGTATACTCATGGAAGTTTGTGGGTAAGATTCTTTTTCAGGAAACCTATTTGAAATATGTAAGTTTAGAGACTGAGTCTGAGAACACCAATTTGGAAGGAAGTGCTTTTTGAGTTGAATACAGATAGGGCTGAAGGGAGGGGTCTAAAGAGAAGGGAATGATTGACGAGTAGAAGGAGTGGGACAGAAAGCTAAATGTGAGCTGGGAAAACTATGAAGGCCAATTCCCCAAAGCAACACACTGGATGGTGTTGACCAATCAGGCAAGAAACTTCATTTTGATCTTCAAAGCACTGTGGAGCCAAAGGAGAGCTTTCAATATGTAAAATCATTTGCAGCAGGGATTGAATTGTAGGCAATATTTGGAACTGATTTTAAAAGCAAGGGAGGAAAGCACGATTATCATCATAGAAAATATGTTTTTATATCTGAGGACAACATTAACCTGTATTGCAAAGTTAGGTTATTATTTCAATCCTACTTTATCACTAGAAGTTGAAAAAATTGCTTCTACAACAAACGTGAAATGGCTGCGTTGGGCAAACCACAAGTATTAAATCCAGGAAACAGAAATTGGCTTTCAATATTTGTAATAAAAAATAGAACCATTTCTTTACTTTTCTCCAATCTTAATAAATCTTTAACTTCTCTTTAAGATTTTTTTTAAAATCCAGTTTACTCTGTAAATTTTCAAGTCCTACATAAGACCAAATGTATTTGAATGACGTTTCTCTGGGGTGTGGTTAGGAAAAAGGAATTGAATGGAACTGTTTCTTTGTGACTCATTGCTTCAGGCCTCTGACAGCTCTGCAGTACCTACCCTTTTTATGCAAAACTTGTGCTGGCCACTGACTGAGGGTGAAAGTTAAAGGAAGAAAAAGAAACCCAGAGCATTCGAGCATGTGCATTGTAAGCATAATTATTTACTACCAGTCAAGACAATGTTTTTAAATTATTAATGATTTACAGTACTCAGTGGTGGCCCATGAGCCAGTGCCCATGCGTGAGAGCTTTGCATACATTATTCAGTCCTCCAGAGGTTTAAAGAAGGCAGCCAGTCTCTGGACCTTCCTCCTCTCCTCCCTTTTATCTTCCAAGATCTTGCAAAATTATGGTCCTATCAATATATGGAATGTAAAACTTAGGTGTGGCATCTGGGTGTGGAACTATTTCCACATATATGAAATATTTGTACTGGTTATGACTTATTTAGCTGCAAGTTATACACTAAGTAGTTGACACAATTGCCTGTTGAATCCTCCCTCCCAATCTGCAGTATGTCAGATACATATGATGATGACAGATCTTGTCCAGATCATCAAGCTGGGCCCTGAAGTCCCCCACGCCTGACTTCAGATGCATAATTTCAGCATTAAGGTAGATGGCTTCCATCATGGCTACTCTTCCACTTAATTGATTGTTTTGTAAAAGGTCTTTCCATCTATACCAGTAGTCTCAACTTGTGGGTGACAACCCCTTTGGGGGGATTAAGCAACCCTTTCACAGGGATTACTTATAAGATATCCTATATATCAGATATTTACATTATGATTCACAATAGTAGCAAAAGTAGAGTTACACAGTAGCAACAAAATCATTTTATGGTTGGGGTCACTACGACATGAAGAACTGTATTAAAGGGTGGCAGCTTTAGGAAGGTTGAGAACCACTGCTCTAGAATCTTGTAATGAGAACTGACCTTTCATTGTATCTGAGCTTGTTATGTAAATAGACAAGTAAGCAGTGGTCTAGAGGTGTCAGTAAACAGTGAGATATCACCTGAAGACAGTTCTGGGAATTGAACAAAAGCCTTTCATCTCCCTGCCCTGGTTACCTCTGTAAAGCATTTTAGGATTAACATTTTCCCCATAAAATAGTGAATCAGTGTGACACTTACACATTACTAGCCTTGTTTGAAGGCTGTTAAATGGGGCCAACGTGCTCCAAGTCCAATCATAGAGGCATAGATTTAATGCAGAGTCCCAGGACAGACATTCAGCCTCTACAGCAGCTCTCAGAGGACAGAAGATGAAGGGAGAACCTCAGCATTAGAAATATGGTCAGTATTTCATTGAAATTTGAAGATGTAGCAAATTTAGTAGATATTTTTCCAGTTTCCATATTGCTTCCCACTGAAGCACTTATTTCTGGATGCAGCAACCCTGAAGGAAGCTTACTGATGACAGTGGCCGTGGCACCAAAGTGGAATTCTGGATAGGGGGTTAATTACTGGCTATGTAGATGTGGGAAATACTGTACACGGGTGAGCATTCACTGATGTGACCTCAGTGTACTTTCACAACAGCATGGCATCCTCGTACAGAGATGCAAAATTAAGGTATGAAGTGTAGACCTGGCTCTTTATATTAAACAGAGTTGTTTGTTCAGTGTTAACACCAAAGAATGCTTTAAAGGCAGAATTCAAGCAGGGCATAAGCAACTGGTCTGATGAATGATATTTGCTAGTCACCCATAAAAGGCATCTGTTTCTTGGCTTGATAGTTAAAAGTGGTTGTCAATCTGACAGGATCTAGAATCATGGAGGACACAGACCTCTGGGCATGTCTATGAGATGCTATTTTAGGCTAGCTTCTGGGGATGTCTATCAAGGAAAAGACCCCTTATGAATGTGGCCAGCATTGTTCCACAGGCTGGGGTCTGGGGCTGACCACAGAGTAGAGCACTAGCTAAGCACCGGCATTATTCTCTCCCTGCTTTCTTCTAATGAGAAGATGGTGGATGCAATGCCACCAGATGTCTCATGCTCCCACTGCCACGATGGACGGAACACTCAGACTGTGAGCCAAAATAAACCCTTCCTTCCTGAAATTGCTTCTTGTTGGGTATTTCTTACAGCAATAAGGATGATAACTGACATACATGTTTTCTCATGTTGCTTGAATGCTATGAAAACATTCTTCCAGTAGCTGAGTATACGCAGAACCCAGAAAGAACCAGAGGCTGGTCAGTTCTTTTTTTTTTAAATTTTATTTTATTAGTTCAAATTAGGAACAAGCTTGCTAAACAACATCATGGTCTCAGCATTTCTAGGTGAGAAAATGAAGCCAACTTAATTTTTTTGGAGCTCTCTGCTTTTTTAGATACCAATGCAGTGGCCAGCAATCAAGGGGATTAGTAACAGAGAGAAGAACTCATTATCAGTGACATGCACAGTGTGTGACACACAGAGGAGGCTCAGCCAAGACAAAGAGAAGGGAAACTGACACAAAATTCAAGGAGAGATTTTTCTGGGCTATGCTTAAAGAATTGTTTAAAAAACTTTTTACTTAGATAGGCATAATAGGAAATTGGTATCAAGGAGCCACTGTAAATATTTTATTTCTTTTCTTGTGGGGGGAATGTATTAATAAGCATTTGGGAAAGCTAAGATAAAAATGAGTACTTTACTCTGAGTTCAATTTTCCTCAGTAAAGATTTTAGTAGCCCCGAAAGTAAGGCTAAGAGGTAGGCATCTTGTGTTTAAGACTTTGAATTCTCTGTATATTCTGTATATTCTCCTGCCAGATGGGTAGTTAGCAAAGGCTTTGTCCATTAAGAAGACTTTCCTGTCCTTCACACTGTTGATCATTCTCCTTGGTGGTCTGAAGATTTTAAATTCCATGCATTCTGCTGGTCAGTTCTTTTTTTTTTTAAATTTTATTTTATTAGTTCAAATTAGGAACAAGCTTGCTTCAGATGTCAATCCCTTCTCCCTCTCCCTCCTCTCCCCCCAACATCCCACCTGCCCCTAGCCATCCCCTCTCCACTCCCCAGGCAGGGTAAGGACCTCAAAAGGGGCTCCCCAACCTCCACCACATCATCCTGGGCCAGGCCTAGGGCCTTCCCCATGTGTCCACGCCCA